CATGTATGTGAGTAAAACAGAATGAGAAAAAGAATGAAATTGATAGAGCAAGTGACGCAAGAAACGACACAGGTGTAGAACGGGTTTAGAGTTAGAGAAATGTTTCCGCCGGGCGAGTGCATGGACTTAATCGTGATGGAAGACTGTGAATAACCGTGAAGCAAGTGAAAGAAGTGAAGGAGAGAGCTAGAAAGAAAAGGAAAGGCAGTAGGAAGAGGGAGAAAAAGACTAGCTGTACGAAACGAACGACACGTTAGAATATCTACGATTCATGTGATTGTAAATACATAGTAAATAAATAACGTAACGTTAATTACTGATATGCCGTACGTGTTACACTAAAGAAACAAACAAGAAGAAAAAGAATAAATAAATAACGTTACTGTGTAATTTCTCGGATCGTAAACGCATTCGAATGGGTCTGGCCGCCCGTGCTAACCGATCCCGGATTGTTTCAATGTAACTGTGGCTGGGCTAATAAGAAAGTCGAAAGCTCGTTTTATCTCCCATTCTTCCTTTTCTCTTTTTAATCTCTTAACGCTCGGAGTAGCGACAATCTTCACCCATTCGCAATCTCTCTCTTATTCTTATCATTTAGAAACTTAATACGTATACTTCGAATACCTTCAACTCTAAAAACATTTGTTTTCCAAAGATGCAAATAGACAAAAAAATATAACTAATAAATGAATAGGATCAGGCAATTATCTCTGAGAGTTAATCAGGTTCCATCGAAGGTTCAACCCCTTTCGTTCACTTCCAAACGTTGAATTTTCCGTATGATTAAGCTAGACAAATAATTTCGATGCGTAAGAAAAATTCGTCGCCCGTTCAACTTCAAACTCGATAAATCAATTTACGCGGCCGAAAGCACGCGCAAACTCGTTTAAGTTTAAAATACACGCCAGCGTATCATGTTCCACCGACAAAAACCGCGAGAACCTTCCGAGGGACCTGACGTATTCGTTGTTGACGCTTTTAAGATGTCGTGTGGCAGGATATGTTTATTCGTGTTTGTGGCGTGACTGTTAACGCGACGCGGTGTCTGAAAGGGGGCGCAGCGGGAGAGCATGTACGAAAGCGCATACGCGCGCGGAATAAAAGCAAAAAAAGACTGAACGCGGCGGGAAGGTGAAAAGGAGACGGTCTAGCACCGGCGCGCATGCTTTTTTCTGGCATCTCAGTGCCAGACGAGGCAACAAAAAGGAGCGTGCGGCTGCGAGCAGCGCGTTCCTGGGTAGCACGGGCCGGCCACACGCGACTAGATGTAACACTAATTAACGCCTAGCGTAAGAACTAACGGATATAAATGAAGGGGATATACTGTCTGATATAATAACCAAGTGTGAACGTACACGCGTATACGTGATGTCCGCGGCGGCGAACTATGACTGACTGTCTGTCTGTATGTTTGGCTGTGTGTGCGTATGAGCGTGCGGTTGTTAAGAGCGAGACAGAGAAAGCGGACACGAGCGATTGAAACAGATACATAGGCGAGAAAGGGACACATGCGTGCGCGAAGGTAAAAGAATTAAAGAAAAAAAAAATTTGAAAGAAAGACGGTTGTTCGTTGGGCTGACGCGGTAAAGCGTTGGTCGAATGACACGCTTCAAAATAGAAAGAGGCGACCGAGGACAATCTTTCTTGTACCGTTTCTTCCCTTTCCTCGTTGCGCACCTCACGAGGGCCACTCTTGGCAAAGAAAGAAGGAAAAATGAAAGGAAAGGATGAAGGAAAAGGGTTGGCGGCAAAGCTTGCCTCGCGACCGCAAATTAAAGCTCGCGCCCTTTTCTTCTCGCGCGCCAACCCCTCGCGAGGTGGCTGAAGAAAGTTATAATTCCCGTGCTTGTCCTCGTCGCCTGCTTTATTACAACCGAACTAACAAAGAAGGGACGAAAGACGGTGGATAACGACGACCGGCGGTGGAGTGGCGATTATAACGATGATGATTATAATGATGATGATGATGATGATGATTATGATGATTATGATGATGATGATGATGATGATGATGATGATGATGATGATGATTACGATGATGATGATTATAATGATGATGATGATGATGATGATGATGATGATCATGATGATGATGATGATGATGATGATGATGGGATTAAATAAAAACGTCGTCTAAGGTATACTAACGTCGTAGACAGCATTGAATTTTTGTACCATTGTCTATAGTAGCTCTTAAGTGCCGCGGAGTTTTCAGTTCTTAGGGTTGCCCGCCTGTGCAGGCCTGTGCACGTACTTATTGTATGTATTCTCGGTTTGGTCGATGGCTCGTGGGGCGGATGTTGATATCTAGCGCTGCCAGCGTCGCGCGAGACTTTTATTCATTTAAAAGGAGCCTGCGTCGATGAATACGCCCCCTGGTCAGCGGTTCTCCGCCCTCGAAAATCCTGTTCTCTTATTTCGTACTCGAATTAAGTCGCGACATGATTCGATCAAACGTTCCCCCATCAACCGAATCATACACCAATTGAGAACCACTGACTCTCTTAAAATTTCGCTTGCTTGAGAGACTCGTTATTCCCGGCGTTCCGACGCGAACACCATTTCAATGATTCTTGCCGCTCACAGCTACACAGTATTTGAGCAGTAAGTATCATGGAGGCGAAAGATTATACCTTGTATCATCTCTCATCAGCTCCACGACAAATCACGGAACGAATCGACGCAAGTTCATGTCCGCCCCAACGACACACGCGCGCCTGTTCCCGAGAGTCGCGGTACGCGATGCATCGAAAAGAGATCCTTTTTCGTGTAATGATTGACCGTCCTAACAGTTCGTCAATGTGCTCTTACGCGTAAATACTCGAGGTAGTATTTTCGATAGTAGGTAAAACAGCAAAAAATATGTAACGACACCGAGGAGCAGCGTAAACCGTAAACGAATACAACCCTTGCGTTTCAAATATTCGATGGAAACACACGTTCGAAATATCTATCTTTTCCGCGCATGCGGAAAGATGATGATTAAATTGCCGCTTAAACGATCTCACGAGAGAGCACAGAAACTCGTCGAAAAAAGCTTGTACACTGTTGCGCTGAGAACCCGGACTACCCGTGAATAGTAATAGCCGAGAATAGCGTTGATAACCATGGGAGAGTACACGTGTGATTATAGTGATTTTAACCCTCTACCGCTTACCGCTTGTTGTCTGCCATGGGAGACATCATAGGGTACTTATTTGCGATGATATCGGAACGCCTTGTAAGTATAGATAACTTTTAAGAAGAGAAAAGCCAAGTATGTACCTTAGATGAATCCTTCTGCCGCGATTATATTTTTTATTCGTTTCGTTTTCATGTACATTTACTCTTATGTTTGAATCGTATGACTATATTTTCCCATGTTAATTGAAGGATGTTCATTGAATCACTTGTGTTTACGTACACTCGGCTTACAATGCAAATAAAAAGGAATTTTAGTTGTGGAGGGTTAGAACTGAACAAGTGGTATACAGTCGTCGATCGAAACCCTCGGGACAGCGATACTTTCATCAATCCCTCGTAATCGGTTATGTTACGGTACGATTCGTCGCATTTCTCTTGTACGACGAGAAAACGGGCCGCCATTTGAGACTCTGTGGATCTCGACCGAACGATTCGTCGATTTCCGAGATTCAAAGTTTCAAACTCATGAGCGAAGGGGAACCAGTCTATCAAAATGTTTCAGTTTACGAATTTCCCACAGTGACCGTTTTCACGTGTAGCCAATGGGTCTAATTAAACGTTAATCGTTTGCCAATTCGAACGTTCGACGAGGCTGACAATTAATTACGTGCAACGTACAATCGACTTTGGTAGCAGGTCGGGAGTGGAGGAAAGGACAGTGGGGAAATGCGTTTGTCGAACGCCCGAATATGCGAACATCGACTTGAAGCTAACATAAATTTAAAGATGAAAACATTTAAAGAAAACGAAAAGAAAATGGTAAGAAAAAAAGGAACAAAGAGATATCCCTCGAAGAAAGCCTTGTCTCGCAGATTCCCAGCTGCACATTGACGAGCGCTTTAGGGTAACGGGGAAATAGACTTTAAACGAATCTGCGAGATGATGCCGAGGATCAACAATTTTGTGGACGAGCGCAGTTGTCGAAACGAACGAAAATGGGAACGCGTGGGTGCAGTATCTTTACGAGTGAGAAAGGGCGAGAGAACGAACGACAGGATGAGAGAGAAAGAGAGAGAGAGAGTGAGAGAGAACGATAATAAATCAATGTTAAACTGATCATTACCGACTTGCAATTCCGGAAAATACATCTTCGTTATTCGCCATTTTCTCTGCATAAGTTCAGCCTCGATTTCGCAAGCTGGACGCAACAACCTCCATGGGCATGAATCGCAGCAAAATCGACCCATGCTATGCGTGGAGTGTTTTGTTAATGGGCCAACGTAACGAATCTCGGGCTAACCGACATCGGATGCTCCGTGCTTAATTTGATGCATCGGAGGATGCTAGATGCGATCATAATTACTCACGAGCAAAACATCGTCCACATTAAAGTTACACACTACACAACTCTCAGCGTTTCCGTTTTTCAAAGTATCGTGACAACAGGAACGAGAACTGTCTCGTTCTATGTGTGTAAAAACCATAAAGCTTAACGAAGAACATTATACTATGAACTTACGGGATACTAAATAAAAGTAAGCCAAACCGTTAAGTTTCCAATGTGTCTTCTTTCCTTCGCCCGACGGTGCCCTCCATTTTGATTTTAAGTTTCTGTGGTGATATAATTCAAGAGTTAAAAATTAGGTTTGTGTTTAAAAACATTCACTGGTCATTTTAAAACGCAATATTAAGTAATGTAAACAATTACTTAAATATATTCTGTGAATAAAATGTTTTATTGTGCACAGACGGAATAAAAAATATGACAAAGCAGTCATTTTTTTCGTTATTCGGACTTCTTATTCTTATCCCGCTTCTTTATACAATTTTGAATGATTTTTTGGAAGCGGATCAGGTAACAAGCACTTATAAAACGAAAAAGACCCATGAGCCATGATTGTACAATTAGTTCCCCATACGAATTGAATGGTGACATCCCAGAACATAGAACAGATAACATGAAACCTTCTATGCCAACTGTAGAGAAGAAGTTACCATCCTACAAAAGATGTAACCATATGAGATCTTTCAAATTAAATAATTAAATAATCATATTATATTATATATATATGATGATATATATATCAGTTTACTATCAGTTTACTAACCAATGCATCTTGAAAAAGTTTGTTCGCTACCACTTCAGGACTGACTAGAGCACTGGTCTCAGATATAAGTTTTGTTTCAAGTGGTTTTGTTAGGTTTTCTATAGCAAACCCTGGAGTGTCTGTGTCTGGAGGTAAACACAGAGTTGTAGAAATATTATATGGCTTAAGTTCCATAGATATACTTTCTGCTAGACCTCGAACAGCAAATTTTGTACTACAATAAGCTGAATAACCAAATATGCCTGAAAATAGGTATATACATGTATATTACATATACAATGTATTATGCAATTAAGTTTAAGGAAAACATATAAAACATGTACCCATAAGTGAGGCTAGAGAAGAAGTTAAAACAATTATTCCTTCCTGAGTAGCCTTCATTCTTTGGACCACAGCTTTGATACAATAATATGACCCAAGGAAATTAATGTTTATCATTTTCTTTAAGTCTGACACTGTGGTATCCTCAATTTTACCACAGATTGCAGTACCAGCACAATTTACTAACATATAAATTGGACCCATATTCCTTTCTAAATCATTTAAGGCCTTTTCAACTACTTCATAATCTTCACCAATATCTAGAGACAAATATTCCACTTTCTGCACATCTCTATCTTTGCAAGCATGAATTATTTCATTCTTCGCAGCCTCTAATTTTTGGATGTCTCTTGCAATTATTGTGACATGTGCTCCGTGTCTGGCAGCAATAATTGCGACACATTTCCCAATACCACTAGAACCACCAGTTACCTAAAAGAAATATATCAAAAATATGAACGTATATACAGTTACATGCAATAATTCCAGGAAAATATTTGCAAGCAAATCAACAAGTAAAATTGCAACGATATTAGTTATTCAACTGTGTCATTTATTATTCAAATATTTTGCATGTACCTTTATAGAATGTTAAATATAGGTTAGGTTTTTGTTACTTACAACAACGTGCTTGTTATTAACATTTTTCACACGACGTCGCCGGAAATAAGATCTCAAAAACAAAATAATTATTATTCCAAAAGCGATTACTAGCACTATGCTAAACATTGCCATCGTTCTTGTTTTATAAAGTTTCCGATAGCACGATAGTTACAATAAAAATTATTTAATTTGCATATTTAACTGTATGTCAGTATTTATTTGATCGATCCAACATGATATTAATATTTAAAATACATATTAATTTGTTACGGTTTGTAAGAATTAACTGTCAATTCTGACAGTTCTAATTCAATTCCTTGTCTTACCGATGAAGAACAATCTACTGAAAATACATAGAATTTTACATTACAAAAAATACCAAATATACCAAAAAAGCAAATACTAGTACTTTGCACATTAGATTATTTAATCTAGGGAAGTGTATGCAATTTATTCATAATTGACAATTATTGTTTTTTATACAACAGATTGACACTGTGTAATATGTAGTATGTAGATTGTAAATAAGCCATAACATATATTTTCTTTATAAGATCATTTCTCGTGCAAGATAGAAGAATTCTTATAGAAAATATGAAAATGTTCAAGTCTTTCTAAATTAATTTTTAGTTACTTACAATTTTAATTGGTTGTTAATTAATTAGTACTTGAACATTATGAACCTAAAGGGTGGTTCATAATCACAAGCTGCGGAACAGCTTAAAATGTTTAGCATGAATGTTTTGTAGAACCTTTACGTTACGTCGTTTCCATTTGACTACAACAATTTATTGCTTTTTGTAAGAAATATTAGACCCTCTGCTAACCATTTCCTAAAACTATATTTTTCATTTATTTATTTATATTTATTCATACTCTGTTGGTAACGTTGTAAGTGATATGAAAATAGTAAACTCGTGACAGAAATTTTCATTAGATCTCTAATCTATCCTGTCTCTCATCGATGATTGTACGCACTGCCTGTACGGATCTTAAATTCTGTATCTTATCAATGTCGTAAGTCTATAAACATCGGCACGTGGCGACGCTACGGCTATTCGGGTAACTGGGAATATGTACGTACTCTTAGGATAATGTTTCACTAATGATAATGAAAATTCCTCCAGATTTTATGTTGACAATAATAATATTTATTCTATTATAATGTTTAGAAAATTTATATAACATTAGTTAAAATACTTAACAAATATACGTACAAATAAATGTAATATAAAAGATATATTTCTCAGGACAAAAAAATGTTACATTTTATTTGAAAATTCATGTTATCTAGTGTTAGTTACCCTAAAATGTTTCGGGCAATTTTCTAATAAAGAATATTCTTTTATTATCTTATAACTCACAACTAAAGTATATTTTGTGACAACTCTGAGTGTAGGAGAAACAATGGCCGAAATACGAATCGATCCTGCGTTTGGTGCATCGTTTCAAGCCAGACATACTTAAGTAGTACCCGGAGTTAGACTGTTACTCATCCAACATTTAATTTTTTCTCGTATTCTCGTTTGTGCGTCCATAAATCAACACAGGGCCGGTTCGAAGGATTATTAATCAGCCGTTTCGGCAAAATAGTCAGCCATTACGAAGTGGGGTGGGGGTAGATATGTCGTACGTGCATTCACCCCCGTTACCGAGGGGTAAAGTCCCCACTTCACCCCTGCCGTTATCCTTCGAGCAAAAGGTCACGTACCACTACCCTGTCGATCGTTCACCTCGTCCTGGGAGTCGCTCCAGGTTGTCAGGTTAAAGCTGAAGACATGAAGGACCTCTCTACACTTTAGATGTGAGCATAGAATGTTGTAAAACGCGATGGAGGAGGAATAACATCAGCTCAGAATGAATTCTGTAACAAATGTACCTATTGGGATGATCCAACCTGAAGTGCTATATATCGAAAGGTGAAAAAGCTTTTAAGAGTTAGTTAATGTTAGATTAGTCAGTATAGAAAATTCTTTATTACAATAAAGAGAGATTAACAATTAATATTAGATTGAAGTTTTAGCATTAAAAATTTAGCATCTACGGCAGAAATTGTTAATTCATGTACTGGTATATCTGCACTGAGATCAGTATGCACGACTAACAGTTTACTATATTTTTAATTACGTTGCACTACATTTATAATACGCAGAAACATTTTTATCTTTCGCCATATAATGGGTAACTACCTTAGTAAACGTTTTAATTATTTCGTGCTTCCTTCCAATATCTCGTTAGAAATCCTAATTAAGAGTAAATTATGTTGTAAAATAAATCTCATAAATTTTCAACTAAACGGCAGACATTCACCCTTAATATTACACCCCTAATTAATCGGTCAAGAGGAACGAGTTAATTTGTACATCGGAACAAGGATTATATTAACTCGTACAATAAACTTCAGTATCAAGTTTCGTTAGTTGCGAGTAAAACACACGTCACCAAACAAAGACAGGGACTAATGAGGTGCATTAAACAATGAACCCAGGTATTACGTTCATCGATCTACCAAGAGTAGTATCCAGTATCAAACAGTGAATATGCCGAACGATCAGTGTTTTCGGGATACGATGAACAATAATTTGGAACCGTGGACCTCGAAATCCGTATTCCTACGATATTTCGCCGCGCCTCGCAATCCCCACAGTTACATAAGACCATGACGTCGCGTACGGGAACTTGCATAAAAATTACATGATCTGCGTCGTACATAAATTGAATAAGGCTACAAGCACTAAAGTCCGCGCGAACCTATGGAACATCCACCGGGAGTCGCTAATCCTCGGAGAGGATCATCTCCCAAAGACAAGACCAAACGTGGAAACACACTGGTTGTCGTAGGTAGCTGAGTGGTCCGAGAGTTCTGCAACTAATCAGATTCATACCTATCCCAGACCTAGCCTCCCAATTTAGCTACTCCTAATTAGGACTTCGTCTAATCCTTTTCAAAACACGAAGTCTAAACGTCATCTAGGAGCTATTCAGTATTAAATTCATATTATAATAGTACCTATATTAATATCATACTAATATCAATTTAATCGTATCTTCTTATCATCCACGCAACTCACTAAAGGTTTCGTATCGTTAACCGTGTATTGTCCGTTACCATCCCTTGGGACTTCCTCCTCAGCGATCCCCGTTGATTTCTAAAACCCGGAATGCATCTTAAACGCCTCGTGATTGTTAGCCGCGGCGACCACGCGGGTCCCGTCGTCGAAACGCTTCAATCGCCCAGAAAATCTAACGCCAGGCGATCCCACGGGCGAATTCGCTATACGAATCCCAACCTTCTGGCCTGGCTCTCGCGTCGGGCCGGGTTAGACCACGGAGGATCG